TTTCAGCTTCTACACTCTCTCAAAAAACCTCTCCCAAAGCCCCTCCGCCTTGTGCCCTCTCTTCAGTTGAGCTGCCACGTTCGCATACAGTCACTCCATTTCACAGTTACTCCTGTGAAGTGCTTCGGGACGCCCTCCAGACATGAAAGGTGCTATAGAAAATGCACAGATTATTATTGTTATTGGGCGTCATTCCACTCAGCTCCTGTTAACCCTGCAATCCAAAGCCCTATCGGGTAGGGTGGTCCCAACTGGACAAGCAGTTGGAAAGCTTGGCAAACAGCAATATCGATGGTTTTAGCTGATTAGAGTCCAGCTGTACCCCAACGCACACTTTGGGATTTCCATGTGTAGGTGGGATCCATGGAAATCCCAGCTTGGTTTGCATTACTCTTAAGTATGGTGATGGGTTTCTGCATGTGTCAGACACTCCGCTGACCCCCCAAAAATAGTATTATTGTTATGAGAAATTAACTGTCAGGGTCCATGTCTTCATTCAGCTTCCACCTATCCCCCTCTAGCATCTCCTTCGTCCTGGGGATCAGCACTACCCCTGGAAAGCTCTTTGAGATGTTTTCCTACGTGAGTGAGATTTAAGTGCAAGCTGTTGTTCTTAGGCACGATTTCTCTTGTTACCCATATCCTGTTCCCATGATGTCTAAACACAAGAGTTTTGATGAATGAGCTTTAGCGACAGTCACAAGGTGTTTTTGTTGTAAGCAAGAAATATCTGACAATAGCATTCCTAAATAATCTTTGAAGCTTTCAGGTATCAGGCACTGTGAAAATCAAATGCTTAGAATCAGGTGCAACTACCAAGGTATTTTGTCAGATCATTATAGTTTATTGAATAGCATAAGATGACTAATTTGCTTGTCTGTGTTTCCACTCGAAGAGTTAGTGCCTGAGTTCAGAAAGGCTAGCACATCCATCCACACTTCCATCTGAATGCATAATCTTGATGCTCTGCGAGACCCGTCAGCATTAGCATCATTTGCATCTTGTCAGTCTTTGCAAACGGCCAGCAATACTGGAGATGAACGCAGCTGTTTTGCAGATCAGATGTAGTAAAAACTGCAGCGTTTGCTTCAAGCGCTCCGAGACACTGTCCAGGGTGAAGGGCGCTATATAAATGCAAGTTATTGTTGTTGTTTCCCCAAAAAATCTTAGGCAATATCTCTGGATTGCCACAAAGAATCACTGCTGCTTCATACGACTGTTTAATGCTTTTCATATTAGGTTCTACCATGTGAAATGTCTAAGGGGGTGGATTAATAAGGAATCCCAGGCGCACAAATGGGAAATTCCTTTCTTACTGGAAGCCCTCACACAGACCTGTGGGTACTCTAACCCAATCTACTTCCAGAGCAGGGTCTGAGGCTTGGTGGGATTTCAAAGAGATCCCAATAGAAATCTTGCATTTTGACCTTTATTTCTATCATTTAAGTTGCCGAAATACTCGACTACCAATGTAGCTGGACTGCAGTGTGCCGACACTTGCAATCCAAGCTCACATGTAAGGATGGCCACTTAATAATAATGATAATCCTTGCATTCGACATAGCGCCCTATCACGTCTTTGAGACGTCTCAAAGCGCTTCAACCAATATACTGCAAAGTGAATTGATTGTATATTTTGCGGGAGAAGTGAAGTATGGAGACCCCAAGCTGCCCCATGGAATCGTACACCAGTGTAACTCATCACCTTCAGCAGAAGAAATGTAACATTTGAAGGTTTCTAAGCAGACATTGCCCAAACAGTCGGAATAGAGAGGGGCTGGGGACTAAATACCTTGTTAGAGCAGCAGTTGTTGCCTTTTGTTCCAAAAGCCAAGCACTTCTTATTGATCTCCTTCTGCAGGCTATAATAATAAACCTTGCATTTGATATAGCGCTTTTCATGTCGGGAGGACGTCCCAAAGCGCTTCACAGAATACACTGTAAAGTGAATTGACTGTATATTTGTGGGCGAACGCGGCAGCCAATTGCGCACAGCAATGTCCCACAAACAGTCGTAGATTGAAAATGACCAATTTATTATTGTTTCGTTTTTGGAGGGATTATTATTAGGCTCTGTGTGGAGTAAGGAAACTTGCCCAAGGTTTCGCCCTCTGCCTGGGATTGAACTCAGGTCTCTCGCTTGCAAAGCGAGCGCTCTAACCACTGAGCTACAGGACTCCACAGGCTACTCCATAAACATTGAATCTGTGTACTTTTCTACTCTTTTTCAATTTCAAGAACACTTTTCTTTGGCGAAAGGAGAACTGGACATTTTTTTTCAGGTATCCAGATTGCGAGTTGCTGGCAAGCGTTCAGGAGCCACTGGTTGGGCCATTTAGTGTCTGCAGTGGTGAGACAGTTTATCACACTTCTATTCAGAAGGATTCTTTATAGTCTTTTAGTCCAGCTTTACTGCACAATTTGCTCTGTTCAATGCAAGAAAAAAATCCATGGCAGAGTTGCACAAAATCTAGATTGAGGATGGTCATTCAATATAATGAAGGTTGTCTCATGCTGATTTAGTTTTAGACTGGCTGTGAATTGTACTGGAAGCTTTTAATGGGAATAAAGAGCATTCGCTTATAAACCTGCTGAGCTAAGCTCAGATGGAGTTATATGTACAACCAGATTCTTCCAACCACCTGGGAAAGAGAGATGTGCGAAGTCAACAAGTTGCGTTTATATAGCCTTCTTGTTCTTAACAATGGCGGAGCTTGGCTGGGGAGAAAGTTCTGTGGGCATGGGCAAAGAGTCATCCAATCTGAAGACAGGCAAAGAAGGGGCAAGAAGTCAGCAAGTAAAGTCAAAGAAATAAGAAAGAAACATATATCTTTTTATAACCCAATACTGAAAATCTAACCATCAGCTCGAAACGAAATGCATGTCACTGGTAATTCAGTCAGCCCCACTCATGTCGAAGAGACCAAGATTGAACCGAACTGTTTAATAAACTCAACGTGTTTTTTGCTCCTTTAGGAGGGTTCAGGACTCTCCCACTCCAGTTGGATTTCTGCCCCTTTGCCAATCATTTCAAGCTCCACATAAACTTACTAATACGTTCTATCGAGGCAGTACCTGAAACGGCTCGTTAAATTGTTGGCGATGAGTTTGGAGAAGGATTAAATCATTTATGTACATAATTGATTTATGCTCCTTCTAACTGATGGCTACATCATCAATCACAGAGAAGACTTTGATAGCAATGGCCAGCAGCTATATTGGAGGAATCAATAAAAGGGCGAAGATGCATATTTCTGGCTGGTTCCTCGATTGACCTTAAATAGAAATGAGAACATACGCCTTAGGAATGTTGTGCCAGAATGTGATTAATCCTAGAAAGATAGAGCCAATTGCAAATTGACTTCACAAATATGTTAAACCTCATACATTGCTATCAAATCTCAATTCTAAGTTTAAGGAGATGACTGTGGCAGAAGAGTCACTTTTCTTGATAGATCATTGACACTCAGCCCCTTTCTCCAGATTATCTGCTGCTCAATTTTCTTTTGCAAATAACTTCTGGTAAATATGGATAAATGACGGCAAAATGCTCTCAAGGCAACTGAGAAAAATAGTGGGAATGTATTTAGCGTTAAAACAGGCATGGAGGAGCAGAGCTGATCGTTTTTTTTGCTGTTGGAGGCATTGCGACGTGAACTTATTTCACAGCCAAAGTGTAGGTGGTGGCAACCAGATTAATTCATTTCCCTTATGACAGCTACTGGATTTTTTAAATTTTATATAGGCCTCTTGTTTCACTTAAACTTAATTCTCTCTCCAAATACTGTACGTACTTTAAATAAAGCTCTAAATCAACCACAATAACTTGCACTTAAATAACATCCTTGTGACTTGGAGAGCTTAAGTGTTTTTTTAAGAGCTTAAAACTCATTTTTCTTCAGCTACCTTCTGCCCTCCACCTTCCCTGATACTGACACCCCAACCCCCACCCAACTCTGGTCCAAATCCCTGACTGTCCAGCGCTATACAAATGCAATTTCGATTGTATTTTGCTCCCTTACAGTTTCCAATGGGGGAGTTGTTTTTTTTAAGCTTTTTAAATATTGTTTCCCTTCTTGCTCCAGCATTTCCTACGATATCCACCTTTATTTTAAAGACCAATGTGCTCTCTCCAGTAGATTTATTCAGAAGTGTGTTACGATATAGCTTCCGTCAAAACCACTGCACCTCTGGCTCACAACTCGACAAGTTATTTTCCTATGCGTCTGCACCTCCAAAGTTCGCCATCCATTGAGATACGGCGCTTGCTATAGTCTCGAGCATCGATGTGTTATCAATGTGTTGACGTGAATTGTCGGTGTATTCGGACTCCAAGATAATCAAGCTCACAGTGATGTTTGCATGGATTACAAAAGTTTACGGCTCTGTTAATTGTACAGAAAGACATAGTTAGCAAGAACAGAATTAGTAATTACAGACGTTTCTTCTTCTTTAAGTGATACCTTCTCTTTTGACGTCTTTCCTGGAACTATTCCAAAAAGCAACAGCTACATTTATACCTTACTTGTTTACTTAGACTTTCCTTCAACTCTAAGTACAAGACCATCTGGTTTGTCTTGCAGATACTGTTTCTGTGTCTTATTTCTCACATAACACAGGCCATCTGCTTTGAACATCCCTCTTTTTCTCATTACCATACCAAACCAAGCAAGGACACTAGATAAGGAAAAGACAACATAATCAACTTAACAGAGTCTCATCAGTGTACAAACGGCGTCTTTATCTACACTGTCACCTGTACAACACAAGGAAACCCCTGATTTGCAAAGGGATAATGGACAATGTAGATTGTTGGCCTAAAGGGAGTTCTTTGTTCCACCATGTGATATTTCTCTTCCTGACCATTTTTGTTTGTTGAAAAAGAGTGCTATTATCCATTGAATTAGCATCGACGATTCCTAGAAACACCGTTTTGCAATGTGATTGATTTTTCTTTTAGAGTACCAGAGTCTAAGTGAAAATTTGCTTTCCATCAACAGATCGTGTACTGGAAAATCAAAAGCTTGTTGGAGAGGAGGAAACGGCACCTTGAAAAGCACGTCCTCACCTTCAGTGGAGAACGGAGCCATGGAATGGTCCCAGGTCTGGAACCCTACAGTAAATATCGCCTGGCGGTGATGGTTTTTAATAGGAAAGGCAATGGGCCAGAAAGTGCGCCCATTCACTTCGACACCCCAGAAGGAGGTAAGAAGTTGGATGGTACAATATCTGTAACAGACGTTTGAACAAACCTAAATCTCAGCGGGTGAAAAAAAAATGTGCAAATTTGTTGCGTGTTAAAACGAGTGTTGCAACCTTGTGTGAAATTTCCGAAAGGATCAATTCTTTTTTTTTATTGTCGCAGATAGCTTAGAATCGGTAGCGTTTGCACAGTTTGCTTCAGTTTAATTGCTTCAAAGTTCATATTTTACCCTCGCCGGGTTAAGATGACATTTGTTGAAATTTAGGACATAATTAAATATTTCAGTTATCTTGAGGTACTTGTCGAAAAATTCTCTTTGTAATTCGGTCGGAAGGCAGGGTAAGCAATATGATTTTTTTTTCTCAAATGATATTAGCGCTATACTTAAATAAAAAAAGATAATTAAGTCTAAAAATGACATTAATGACCCCTCACGTATTACACTGTCTAAGACCAGGAACCATTTAAGTTGATTGAATGCATAAGCACGTCTGCCAACAGCATTCAGGTTCATTATGAACAAGCAGACAGAACTGAAAGAGGTGACAAAGATTTAACGGTTTCATTCCCCAGATCTCTTAGCACATTCGTTGCACGTGTTAGGACTGAAAGATTCGAAGAAACGGAATTTGTTGGAAAGAAAATTGAAGGAAGAGAGTTCAAGATCTTCAGTTTTACTGACGATAGAACTTTGTAGGCAGTTGAAGGGAGGTTAAGTTTGTATACCGATCAGAAAAGTCAGACATACTGCTTTAAGTGAAACACCATCTTTCTGTCTATTGTACCATTACATAACCTACCATCTGGTCAGTGAAATCCCTGGGAATTATAACTGAAGATCTTGGTATGGAAATGACGAGAATAGCAACATCTCAATAGACATCCAAGATGAGAGTCTAGAGTTATCAGCTTTCTAAAGGAAATCCAGAAAGATGGGCAATTTAATTTTCTAACAATAATAATTAGAAATATTACTTTCTCTGCAATCAAATAACAACAACAACAACATTTGTATAATACCTTTCACATCAGGAGGACGTCTCAATGTATGAAACTTACATTGGGTACTAAGCATACTAACTGGATTAGTACTTCAAAAGCATTGGTGATATTAATGGAGCAATAGACCATCATTAACTAATGTGTTTGACTTTTTTTTCCATCTGACAGTACCTGAGCAGCCCGCCTTCCTCAGAATAACAGGGATTGCCAAGGATGCAGTAACGCTCATGTGGGGACCTCCAATAAAACCCAATGGCATTCTCATCGGATACTTGCTTCAGTACCAACTCAGTAAGTAGTAAAAAAAAACACCCTGCATTATAATTAACTGGAATAGACTAGATGTCCCACCCTCACATAGTTTATTTATTTACCAATACACTTCGCTCTTTTCATTCAAGGTTTTACGGTGAAAATACTGTACCATTTGATTTGTGATGGTTCATTTTTAGAACAAGGACCATTAGAAATAATCCTTACATTCGGTGTAGCACCTTTCACGTCACGAGCATACGTCAAAGCGCTTCACAGGCTATACTGCGAAATGTAGTGATGGAGCGTTTTGTGGAGTAACATTTCAGATGATCTACATCTGCTCTGTTTAAAATGCTTAAGTTCCACCTGTTCAGGATTGGTAAGACATGTTACCAATTTGTCATTAAAAATATGCTTGATAAATGCATGTTGTACAAATGTTGATATTGTTTCTGAAGGTATAATAGCTGTTTCTGTTTCTTATTTCGAGTTTCGCATTTCTCACAGCTGCTACTTCAGAATTGAAGTGCACACAGGCTTTGCTGTTACAACACTTAACTTACGACGTTATGCTAACCAAATCAATCACTTCCTAGTAATCCTGGTTTTAATGCAACTTGTGCCGATTTTGTAGCCAGCGGCAATGTTTTCAACAAGGAAAGGCATTTTTGCTATTACAAAGATTGAGTTATTAAATGATAATTTTCGTGTTGTGAATCTGATGCCTTTATATCTTAAGTTTCGCACTCGCGCTCATTATGAGCCGAGTAATGAAGGCAAACTGTTGCGTTATATCTCGAAAGGTTCAAACTAAGTAACAGTTTGAAGAAGAGAGTTGTGGTGTCACGTAGTGTTTGCAGTGCAAAAGGAAGCCATCTTGGTCTGACGATTCCATGAGCTGGTGCTGTCTAGCCTAATCCCAATGTCCCTGCTCTTCCCCATGCCATTTAATGTTGCTTTTCTCGAGTATTTATTCAATTGTTTTGAAAGGCTGCTATGGCCTCAGCTTTAACAGCCGGAGGTAAGGCATACCATGTTCTATCAATCCTCAGTGTGAAACAAAATCTTCTAACCCGCCCTATTTTCTGCTAGTGCTAATCTTGCTGAAATAGCTGAATCTATTACTAATTCCATTGTTAAAACTTAGTGTATCTACTTATGTACCTTCTAGTCCTTTACCTTTAAATGCACCAATTGTGCACTAATTGGTTCTTGTCCTATTTGGTGCATCTGATTACCAATACAGTATGAGATATTTTATGCATGTATGATTGTGGATGTCTGTGTAGAAACTGCTGACATTTGTAGCAACAAGGAAAGACAAGCTGAAAGGAGAGCCGTATGCAGTGCTTTAATGCACGCTCCATGGAGTGCTTCTTGATTTGAATCTGTGTGAAATCATGCCCTATCAATGTAAGAGAATTGGGTTTGAGTCGCGCAAACAGAGAGGAACTCGCCCTGGGGGAAGCTAGTCTTGATTAAGTAATTCCACCAAGAAATCTCTTTGAATAGTTCCAGCATGAATGCAGGTGGGACAAGGTCATTCAGGCACCTCGCAAAAATGGTCCCTTGAAAATTCTTGGGTGATATTGCTTCCAGCTTATTAATAAGCTTAAGAAACTAACCAGCGTTTGGTACCCAGTAGCACACACCTACTGTGCATGCACCTACTTGGGTATTCAACATATCCTTAGCTCCTCCGGGCAAAGGGATTTGAAGTACAAACACTCTTTCCTATTCCAAATCATTTTACCAGCCGTAGCACAGCACAGCAAATGCTGATTTTAAGGTCCACGTGGGGTGTTTTACAGTTGTGTTTTGTCAGATGCCTTTTTAAGACTGACATACCAACAGCTGTCTATACTGGAAAATGAGTTGTCTGTGTGTACCAATTACTAAGTACAGAACCTTTTTGCAAAGTGGCAATTTTGCGTGTAAAGAAAACTTAGCACAATTATCTCAGTTGTAAATCGAGAGAATCCCATAAACCTACCATATAATTTTAATAATCCAACAACAGCTTAAATACATTGTGCTGAACAGAATATTGATTCATATTAATACGTTCAATTACATTCTCAAAACTTACCGATGTACATGTGGAGCAGCTTTCGAGGTTACAATCAAATGATTCACTTTCCGGATAACGTGATGAATGGTTTAGGAAAACACTTGTACATCCAATTCCGTGCAAAGACTCTACTTGCACATAGTAAGTGGGTTTGATTTTAGATAGCATTGTAAGGATGTTTCTTAATTAAAGTAAAATGTCTGCAGGGTAAAATCAAAATGCAAGCAAATAGTCTAATATTTCAGCTGTCGTTCTAATACCATAAATTGCACCCAAATAGCATTATTAAACCAGATGGCAATCTGAATGGATTTATAACGAATATGTGTTATGTCTTGGGAAAGAGCTCGTTTTTTTTTGTTGCTAGTAGTTACCTGCGCAGCATGTTAACAACGGCTGACTTGAAGACCACAAACAGCTGAAGGCATGAAAGTGAATGGAAGGAGTTTGGTTTGGTCAAAGAATGTGCATGCGCACATTTGAATCTGCTGATAATGTTTTAGATTGCATTTTGCAGTAATACAGCTCCAAGGCACTATTAGGAATTAAGTTGCAACAAAGATTTGATATTGGAGGGATCTGACTATATAAAAGCCCATCCTCTGGACTCTTGGGCACTGGCCAATTCAAAGAAGAACGACTTTCAAGTTCTTTTTGAAAGGCGTGTAAATAGCTGTGCTTCCCTCTTCCTCGAAGATTTTTGACAATCATTTTTCAAATGTTAAGTATATAGCGACTGAATTGTGGATTCCTGAGACCTTCTTGTGTCAGTTTGCAACTCCATGTTTCCAATTCAAGTAAGAGTTTTTTTTGTTATTCGGTGTTTATTTTGAGTGCAGTTTGGAGTCCGTAGTATAGTGGTTAGAGCACTGAACTGGCAAACAAGAGGACTTAGTTTCGTTTCCCAGGCAGAGCGAAATCTTTGGCAAGTTTCCTTACTTCTCCTAGCTGTAGGTAGGAAGCCATTGTTGATCGATTGGGGGATCTCTTTCCGGTGGTAATATTCCCACCAGAAAAAAATTTGTTCATTCAATTCATGACTGTTGTGGGCAATTGGCTGCCATGATTCGTCCACAAAATACACAGTCACTCCACTTATATTATACAGTATATTCTGGGAAGCGCTTTGAGACCTTTCAAAGACGTGATTAGGCGGTTTATCGTATGCAAGGATTATTATTATTTGTTTGAGGTTATGAAAGTAGTGCTCGATACTTTAATCACAATTTGTATAAATGCAGGCTTCTGCCAAAATACCACACTCAGTATAGATGTGTTTGGTTCTGAATTTTTCCCCTTGACTAAAGTGTTGAAAGAGCATCGTACACTGGGCAGAAAATGTTCTTGCTGGCTTTTGGGTTTCGTTTGACGTTGATTATTATTGTACATTAATTAGTACTGGTAGCAAGGGAGATGTCTAGAATAATAGAAGTCTTAGCTCAGTGCAAGCAAGCCCATGTATAATTCACACGCATGCACCACTGTAAAATTTGTGTTCCGTCACCATCCCTCATGTGGGTATCATTCAGTGTTTGGAATACCATAAATATTTGAGGAGCTGAGTGACTAGACTGACATTTCATTGTCCTTCCTGTAATGTTAAAATAAAAGTATATTTACTCCAGAAAAGTAATACCGATTCTTTTGAAGGAATCATTACCAAAAGTGGAATCTAAAAGCTACTCAGACATCAGAAAACCAATGGATTAATGGCTGAATCACTATCACATTTCTAAAGTAACTGAGTGTCTGGAAAGTGCTTTTCAGTTTATGTTTGTATCAACTATATCCTCATACCATTTTGTTGGGCATATCCCAGGAATCAAACTCTGCCATTGAGATCAACCAGCACAAGATCTCTCTCAGAGAAGCATTAAAGCGTTATCTAAACGCATTAGTATCCTTTTACAGAAGGCAGCTGTAATTACTGCCTTGACATAAGAAATTTCCTTGCTTGAAAGGATTGAATGCATTTGTTTCTGGATTCCTATCATAATTATGTATATAAAAAAAACTGCAGGTGGTATTTAATGTAAGAATTTCTTCAGCATATGTTTATAGTAGAATCAGGTTTAAAAAAAACCTTATGAAACCTGAAGATTGTGTTGCCTGTTATTTCAAACGCTATTTGAGGGCACCTCAAAACTCAACAGGTTGTGACATCAAACTCCGAAAAATAATTACGGGTAACGACACAATACAATTGCAATGCAATTTATACTTATGTAGAAACTTTTCATGTTGGGCCGACGTCCCAAAGTGTGTGACTGTTCTGCCTGGGGCCTGGAGCTGAGTGTGAGAGCTGAGGTGGGGGTGGGGAGTGGAAAGATGACCCAACGGGCAGTCAAAGAGGTTCATTTTGAGGCGTAACTTGAAAGAAGGGAGTGGGGGGAGCGAGCAAGTCGGAGGGACTTGCAAATGGAATTCCAGAGAGAATGGTATATTGAGTGGTATTATTTCCAATGCTATTTTCTCACTGAGTTAATCCCATTATTCAATACAATACACATTTACATTTATATAGCTCCTTTCCCGTCGGGAGGATGTCTCAAAGCACTGGAAGTTTCTAAGGTTCGGACCGAGATGGGGGTGGGGAGAAGGAGGAAGGGGAAAGGTGACCAAAAGCGTAGTCAAAGAGGAAGATCTTGAAGTGGATCTTGAAGGAGGTTGAAGGGACTTGGGGAGATCCAGAGGGTGGGGGCAGACGGGCTGAAAGTCCTACAGCCATTCAGCCCCATTATTTGCCTGATTTTATTTTCCTTTCTGCAACTGATTCACCATCACGTCTTTTTCTTAAAAAAACGTTTGTTGAATGTTTTTTTTTGACTGTCCCTCCTCCATCCACTCTCTGCCCCATATCCTCACAGTCCATTATGTGTCCGATCACTACTACAGCAGTAGGCACACTGCCGTTGCTCCTGTGATTTCACCGCAGCTGTTGCTGCCCCCTTCACCACCAGTATTA